AAAGAAGGGAAAGGAAAAATTATGAGAAAAGAAAACAAACGGAAATGAAGTCTATGTAAATACGGAAGGGTGGAGGGGGTGAAGGGTGCACAGGTAATGGGGAAAAAATAAAAACCAAGATACATCATGTACAGGTATAAGCACCCAATGATAAATGTAAATGTATTATACACCTAAAATCTACCAATAGAAGAACTTGAGAATTAAAAAAAGTGAAAAACAAATAAACAATAAAAAATATTGCATAGAGTGTTTGGGAGGGTTTGAGACAGGTCTTGCTATATATTTCAGTCTGGCCTTGAACTCATTATGTAGCCTGGTCTGGCCCTGATCTCATGGTGATCCTCCTGCCTCAGTCTCTTGGGTGCTGGGATTACAGTCCTGTGACGCCACACCACTTCTGCAGAAAATATTTTAGAAGGAACATCTAACTTATCCATTCAGGAAATCACCAAGATTTTTAAAAAACAAACTTTATGATCAGTAATTTTAGGGAACACACCCCAAGTATTTAAAAACCCAGGAGTCAGGCATGGTGGTGCCTGGACCTGTAATCCTACTGTTCTGGGAGGCTGAAGCAGGATGATCACAAATCACAGTACAGTCTAGGGTATTTGGTATCTTAGCAAGGCTTTTTCTCAAAAAATCATTTTTAAAGGGTTGAGCATGCTGGGTGTGGTCATGCATGCCTTTGATCCCAGCACTGGGAAGGCTGAGGAGATAAGATAGCCATGATTTGGAGGCCAGCCTGGGCTACACAGTCACTTCAAGACCAGTCAGAAATACTGAACAAGACTATTAAAAAAAGTCTGAGGATGTAGCTAAATTTGAATCCAGCCCGGATAACATGGAGACAAAGTGAGACCCTGTTTAAAAACAAAAAAAAAATGGTCATGGTGGCACACGCCTGTAATCACAGCATGCAGGAGGCTTGAGTTCTTGTGGTACACAGTGAGTTCAAGGCCAGCCTTTGATACAGAATGAGACTCTGTCTTAAAAATCTTAAAGAAAAAAGAAAAAAAAAGGACTGGGAATGTAGCTAAATTTCAAAGCAGTCTAGCAACTTGGAGACTCAGTGAGACTCCATTTTAAAACAAAAAACCAGAGCTAGGCATAGTGGCACACACCTACAGTTCCAGCACTCAGGAAAGGCTGAGGCAGAAAGATCAGAAGTTTGAGCTCAACCTGGGTCACTTAGCCACTGACTAAGAAACACTCAAAATTGAAAACCAAAAAGGGGCTGGGATCTAGCTCATAGAAAAGGCTCTAAGTTCAAAACTCACTGCCACACACAAAAAAGGCAAGCACGACCAGGAATGTAATTTAATTTAAAGCCATTAATTCTAAAACCAATTTTTAAAAATAAATAAACAAACAACATGAGGTAATATAACTGCTTTTTAAAAATAAACTTGATTACAACAGCCAGGTGTGGTGGCACACACCTTTAATCCCAGCACTTGGGAGGCTGAAGCAAGACCATCACTCTGAATTCAAGGCCAGCCTGGACTACACAGCTAGAACCTGCCCCAAGAAAATCAAAACCAAAAATTTTTTAAATTATATATAAGTTATAACAAAAATGAAAATAGTTAAGATGAATGCAAAACTCCATTTTGAGGTAAAATCAATGCCTTACATGTGTTCATCTGAACGTAGAGAAGAGGAAGGTTCACGGCATCCCGGGCTGCAGGTCACCACGAAAGACTGGCTGAGGGCACACAGGATACGTCCTCCAGAGGAGCTGACTCACCAGAGGTCTATAGAGTTGGCCAGGTGCTCAGGGATCCCAGGAAACCAGGCAGCAACTCTGGGCTCTAGGATACTGGGTGGCTCCTCAGGAATTTTTACTGACTTTCCCAGTATTGCCCTCCTTTTCTAGTTCCTGCTTTCCAATCAGAGTGTAGGGTTTTGGAACTCCACCCACTTAAACCTGACTGACTTTTCAGTTTTCTTCTTAGTAACTGATTCAATCCAGTGTCTCTTTTTGAAAGAAAAGAATTAGGGACAGGATAAATCACTGTCATCTACTGACTCACTGCATACTATTGGTTGATTGTTACTCACGTGTGACCATCACAGCTCTGGATGTTTGAGACAAGGGAGGATTTAACCTTTTCCTGACACTGCACACAAAACCATCAAACCTGAAACTTTGTGGTCAGGAGATCTTTGGCCACATGAAAATTATCAAAATATTCCAGAGTTGGAATAACTATGTGAAGTCAGCGATGTCACTCTCAGGGAAAACAGAGCAACAATCTCCATGGATCAGTGGTGCCTTGGGTGCTCTGCCTCCTGACAGCAGATTGTGTGCCCACTCAGGGAGAAAAGGGAGGTGAGCTTGGTCTTCAGGACTGAGGTGGTACTTGCCTGTAATCCCAGCACTCTGAAAGGAGGAGACAGGAGGACAAGTTCAATCCCAGTGTGGGTGATTTAGCAATTTAGTGAGATTCTCTTAAAATAAAAAACAAAGAAAAGGACTGTGGCTGTAGTTTGGGTTGAAAGACCTGATTTCAATCCTGCAGTACTGAGGTAAAAGAAGGATTTACCTGAAGAAATTTTTTGGAATGGAAATCAGGCCAAAATAATGAGTAGATGCATGAGGGCGATGAAATGGTGGCAAGTTGTCCTTAGTGAAGCTGGGTGTGGTGGCACACGCCCATAATCCCAGCATTTGGGAGGCTGTAGCAGGAAGAGGATCACCATGAATTTGAGGAATTGGAGGCTGGCCTGGGCTACACAGTGAGTTGAAGGCCAGCCTGAACTACATAAATCTGTCTCAAAAACCAAAGTACAGGGCCTGGGATTTAGCTCAGTGGTTCCGCCGCCTGCCTTGCAAGCACAAGGACCCGAGTTCGATCCCCGGTACCAAAAAAACAAAAAAAACCAAAGTACAAAACAGAAAAAGGAAAAAAAGAAACCCCGTGAAAGACCCAACTTATCTATCCTAAATGGGGCCTTTTTGAGGCATTGAGGACACAAAGAAATTTATGTAGAAGAAATTTGGAACTCAAAAAAAAGATACTGCAAAGAGCCCAGAGAATCTCCTAAAGCCAACACTATCCCTGAGGGCAGGGAGGGAGACTTGGTCTTTGGTGCCCCAGAAGAGAGAGGGAGGTTCAGCTGGGATCAGCTCAGGGAACTGGTTTGAGATGATGAAATCTAAGAATGTGAGCTGGGCAGAGCTGAGAGGGCAGCATTGGGAGTCAGAGCCAGGGACTCAGACTTTTCCAAGACCAAGAACCTGTGAGGACAAAAACTGTGGGCCCTTAGTTATGTTGGAGAGAGACTTGAGGGGCAGAGGCCTGTGAGCCTGTCACAAGGGCAGGCACTACCAGGAGACATTTGCATCCAGAGTCAGTTTCTTTTGACAGGGTTATTTCATGGCTGAGAGTTTTCCCCAGTGCAAATTAGTATTTCCTCATCTGGTCTGAGGTAACGAATGACACAGATGCAGGTTCAGGAGCCCGCTCTTAGACCCAAGCTCTCTGACAGAGTCTAATGGACATACAAATAAAATTTAGTGCTTTTTTTCATGTAGGACTGCATAACTCTAATCATAAAACTCCCCTAGCCCCAACTGTGATTGAATGTGAGTAAACAGATAAAGATGCTTGTTAGTTCAGGACACTAGATAAGATCTGTATCAGCCATAAGGTCCCAAAGTAAATTACTCAACTCTTTGTTCGAAACTGATGTTCCAGACACCACTATCTATAGAACAATCTACAAACATCTGCTGACCATCAGTACGTGTCAGCTGACCACTAACGTTTGTTCCTCTTTATAAATTTCTCCTGTTAACTTCCCCTACAACCTCCTATAAAAAGAGCCTCGGACTCTGGGCTAGTTGCCTCTCTAAGCTACTTTGCTTTGGGAGTGCCGTCTGGCCAGACTAAGGTCTGTTTTACTTTCCAACTTGTCCGGTGTGTTCCTTCCCAGGTGTTCTTCGCTGCAGTCAGCTCCTCAGAGCGTTTGGTAAGGCCCTCAGTCTTACATTCATATGAAGGACAATAAACTTATATCAATACTCCCTTCCACAATATTCAGATGCAATATTTCCTATTTAAGCATCTAAAATATATTTTTGAGACAGGGTCTTCCTGTGTAGTTCAGGCTGGCCTTGAACTCATTATGTAACCTAGGCTGGCCTCAAACTCATGGGGATCCTCCTGCCTCAGCCTCCCAAGTGCTGGGATTATAGGTGTGTGAAACCACACCCAGCAAAGGATCTAAAATGTTAATCTGAGGAATTCTACTCTAGGATGAATTTCATATCATTTATTTGGAAGATTCAAGACACAAAGAAAGGGACCCACTTCTCCCCCTAAATGCTGTGCCCCTCCAGTCCATAATGGTGTCTATTCTACTTCCATACAGACCCTCTATACCTGGGCTTATTTGATGGAAATTCCCTGTCTTGGTGTCTTTCTGTTAAATTCCTTTCTGCACATTTCTAAGCTCTGTAAAATGCCCTTTATATAAGATTGTGTTAATCCAGAATTTGCTCAATGGATATTTTCACTCCCAAGTAACAGTTTTGTGTATCTGAGCAGGAGAGTGGGACTGGTAATGATGACAATCATGAACATCACTGTTTACTGAAAATTTGCTTACTAGATTCAGGTGTAAAAGAGTGCAAAATATCTGTCTGCCCACTGGAGATCCGAAGAATCCAGTGGAGGGCTTGGAGCCGTGAAAGTCCGTATCAGTGTCAAAAGGCTGAAAGATGCCTGGCAGCAGACTGATGGATCTGCACTGGAAGTTAGGAGATGATGTCTATGATGAAGATGAGGATTAAAACTTCCAAGAAAGAAAACCAAAGCTGCTTTGAAGGGGCTGGGGATTTAGCTCAGTTGTGCCACGCCTGCCTCACAAGTACAAAGTCCTGAGTTTGATCCCTGGTACTGCGAGGGGGGGGGAGGAAGAAAGGAAGGAAGGAAGGAAGGAAGGAAGGAAGGAAGGAAGGAAGGAAGGAAGGCAGACAGACCACCAAAACTCTCCAAAGAAAAGTAGCTGCGATAAAGCTCTTCTAGAAAAATCAGCACCATGCAACCTTCTCCTCCATTCCTCTCTTATGCCCTTCTGGCACCAGTCCTCAGGTGGGTCTTCTATGCCCAGAACTATGCTGACTTAGTGCATCTGACCCTTCTCACTCAGGTTGACATCAGTTAATTCACTACAGAGAGCAACAGTGCTGGTGGATTTCATCAAGTAGCTTATATAACTTCAGCAAAAATCTACAGTACATTGCTATTTTCCCCAACTTTAGGTGGCAAACTTGGGTCCTGGGCAAGGAGAGAAACTTCTCCGCATTTACACAGCAAATAATTGGTGAACCCACTCAGGTGACAGGCTCAGAGGTACCCAAATCATTCAACAAATGGTAATAATTTGAAGAGCAGATAGACATACTTCACTTAATAGTTTGGGAAAATGGGAAAATTGTAAACACATAGGTGGGCATGGTGGTGTATACCAGTAATCCCAGCGCTCTGGGATGTTGAAGTAGGAGGAAGGAAGGTACAAGTCCAGCCTTGGCAACTTAGAGACTTAGAGGGATCCTGTCTCAAAATAAAAAAGTAAAGAAATGGCAGCGGCTGTGGTGGTGCATGCCTGTAATCCCAGTAATTGGGAGGATGAAGCAGGAGGTTCCCCACAAGTTCAAGAGAAGCCTAGGACACTTAGTGAGTTCAGGACCAGCTGAACTACATAGTGAGACCCTATCTCAAAAGAACAAAAAAGTAAAGAGGATGTAGCTCGATGTTAAGGTCCTGGGTTTCACCTCTAGAAAATTGTGCTTGAGATGCTTATATAGGATTCCAGCTACAATGGGATCTGAGGCGATTGGACATCCATTATTTTGAGGTGTTCTAGAATTATGAAATGAAAACCTTAGCTCTCATCAGCCAGGTGTGCTGGTGCCTATAATGCCAGCAATCTGGGAAGTAAAAGAAGGATGAAAATTGCAGCCCTCCCTAGCCAAATGAGACCCTGTATAAAAATAAAACAAGGGCTGTGGATCAGGGCAAAGGTGCTGAGTTCCATGCCCACTATTATTGCAAAAAAAAAAAAAAACTAAAATAACCCAACATTCTCTTTCCCAGGAGGCAAGGAAACATTCCTCGCTTTCTCTTCAGACAGAGCCTGTTTGCTTAGGGACTTTCAAGTAAAGAGCACACCCAAGTTCATTCTGTACAAAGGCACAGTGCTTTATGCCCAAATCAGGGTCTTGGTACAACACTTAGGACCTAGGAAGGAAGCCTGGCAATGGAGGACATTTCTGCCTGTCCTAATTGCTTGTTCTCTTCATAACCTGCATTTGTTGCCCAGATCAGAGCTACAAGCTCAAACTTTTTTTTTTTGTATTAAATTATTTTGTTGGTACATTGTAGGTATACAACACAATTACATTTCTCATTGGGAACTGTACCTTCACATAATGCATCTTGGTTCTTATTTTTTCCCCATTCCTAGCCCTCCCTTCACGCCCTCCACCCTTCCCTATTTA